GAAAAACAACAAAAAGACCATGTATACTATACAACAAGGACGAGGGGAGCAGTCCCCTTTTCCAGAGAACTAAAAGCCACAAAAAATGGACAAAACCACAAGCGTTTGTTATGGTGGTGTAAGGAGACATTATATTATAAATGAATAAAGCCAGGTAAAACACAAGTCATGGGTATACAGCAATTATCTTCGTAAGACTATAGTGAACTAAGATATGAATCAACCAAGAATATTTAATTTTGAATATTAAATGTTTAGAAGAAAAAACAGGACTGAAGGAACTGCATAATACAATATAACGATAGTGACCTGTACTAAGTAATTTGATCAGTCTGATATATACTTAATATCAAAAAACAAAGAGTAATTAAGCACAAATTGGATATCGTAACGCCCTGCCAAAAGTGCATATACAAAGGAAGCAAACACTTTGCTTAAAAAGGTTATGCTAAAACAATCTCTTTTAACTTGAGTGGAAGGCGGCAGAAAGGTATAAGAATATATATGAGTATATACAGAGCTGCAGATACACATGTGAAAGGGATACCGACTGCATAATAGAATCCCACACTTCCACCTCTGTAATCGATAAAATGCCTTCCTCTCACATCCTGTATCAATGTATAAATAATAGATTGTTAAATTTATAGCTCCGTAGGCAACCACCTAACAGCGCATTCATCCACAAATGGTAGAGATTATGAAAAACACGCCCAATTGTCATTATACAGTCTTCCTAACATATCAAATAATGTAGGAAACATGAGATAGAAATCATCTTCTGAAGATAATGCGGAATGATGGACAAAACAATAACTGCGGTAATTAATCTTACATTACAAAAAAAACCACATAGAATAAATAAAAGTTCACCACAACAATACAAATTCACATAATCAATGAAAGAACAATGCATATCCATCCAGCCCCAGATATAACCATGTAATTGAATGTATATTAATGCAAAATTTTAATAGTCATTTAAAGACATTAATAGGCAGCCCTCGAACTATTAATTTTATATCATACTTTTTATAAATACATTTTATGAAATAAATTCGTACAAATATGTGACTTATCATAAAAGTAGCTTGACGTCAGTACAAATTAACTGCCAGCCTTTGCTCCCCACAGTGCCATCAGTGAGCCATGGACCACTCTCTGCGCGTTCACCCCTTTTCCTTACTTGGAGCACTACCTAACCAATATGAAGTTAAATACCTGCACCAACATTCACTGCAGACCGGGAACACCCCACAAGAGCTGCAGTTTTGGAGATGCTCTGACCCAGTCGTCTAGCCATCACAATGTGGCCCTTGTCAAAGTCACTCGAATACTCACCCTGACCATTTTTCCTGCTTCTAACACATCAACTTTGAGAACAAAACAGGAGCCATGATAACAAGATAATCAGCTTTTTTCACATCTGTCAGTGCTCACAATGTTATGGCTGAGGGCACTTCATCATGTTTTCTCCACTGGAAGGCAACTCTAGAGGGCACTGTATCACATTTTTGCCACTGGAAAAGCACCTTAGAGCGAACTTCATTGCGTTTTCTCTACTAGATATATTGTATGTATGTATTGTATTTACTATGTCTTTTCAAACCAGTAGTGAGCCAGTACACCTACTGCAAGCAGGGTTGGGGATGGGTTCTAACTAACTTATAATTAGTAATGGGAAGTCTATGTAAGATCTTAAACTATTTCATGTCCAGCACAAAGAGATGAAGTAAGCACTTGATTGATTGATTGAAGTGTTCCATCCCATTTAACTGCCAAGAAGTTGCGTCCAAGTCCTGCTCCCACACTTTCCTTAGGTGGTCCAGCATTTGTAGATTTATGGACCAAATCATAGATAGAAGAGAGTAGGCCCTTAGTTTTGGGAGTGAAATCTAGAAGGCAGTCAACTGGAGATGTTGGGGGTGACTGTCGGAGGGAATAGAAACTGTAAGTAAAATGTCTTTTCTCCAGATCTGGTCAAAATAAGAGAAAATATCATCAGAAAATAAATCTTTTATGCATCAGATTCCATTTATGCCACAGTTGAAAATCTGCATCTGTATAAAAAGGAGTAAGATCAATGCTTTCTATCCAAAATGTTACCTAAAATGGGGCCAAATTTGTATTGAATTAGAAATATTAGGGTTGGGCGTGAAGTAAAACTCAAAAGAAGTGAGAGAAAACAGGCTGTAAGGTTTCTCCTCTAAACATCCCACTTTGGTCAGTTGCACCATCTCTACGTATGCTAAAACTTGAAGTCAACCTTAATCAAAAAATCGTTGATATTTCCCTGTATGTCCAGTCTTGATGTGAAGCTAGCACTGATGGCTCTGGCTCTGAATGCATGAGAGTGCTATCAATCTATAACTCAACAAGAAAGCAAATAACCGCATTTCCCAAAATATCAAATTATTCCTATTGCTTTAAAGGACCAGTGTGTAGGATTTAGCGGTATCTAGTAATGAAGTTGCAGATTGCAACCAACTGAATTCCGCTCGCCATCCAAGCGTCTATGGTGGCTGTAAAAACTCACAAAAAGGAAGGCCAGTGTTTGGACTTATTTCAAATATCTTAGTAACAAAAGTAAATTGTGTAGTTATTCTACATTAAGATAAATTGATAATCTTCTAGTTCCTCTGATTAACTTCTTAAAACCTTTGTTATCACTTCTTGTGCATGCCTCAGTCACAGCAGAAAAAATATTGAACTTTTGTTAAGTACAACAAAAGTAAAGTTAAAAGTCAGTAATTATCACTATGACAAAGCAGGTTTTGTCTTCACAAAGTGAGGCTGGTATTTACAATCCCACTGTTAATGTATCACCTAGAACAGTGACTGGGAGGGCTAGGGTTAGATGCTATCCATGGCTACATATAGAAGTTCACCTTCCACTCTTGCATGCAGTGTGTCAGTGTGGGGCAGACAACATGGGGAAAGGTTTCTTCATCAGTAAAGCTGTTGGGATAGCGGCTATCATCGTGGGTGCAGGGGCCCTGGCTACTATCATAGCTCTGTCTGTCGTTTACTCACAGGAAAAAGCAAAAAATAATGATAATGTCTTGCCAACGGATGGAGGAACAACATCCAAACCGCCTGTCACAACAACTGCCCCATCCAATGAACCTTGGGACAAGTATCGGCTGCCCAAGAGCCTGGTGCCAGACCACTATAATGTCACCCTATGGCCACGACTGACACAGAACTCGACAACTGGACTCTTCATCTTTACTGGTAAGATTTTATGCATAGCCAGATGTTTTTCTCTTACAAAGTAGTTGCATTCACCTGGTATTCAGGGTGGAAATCCAACGGTCAACAAAAACTAAAAGCAGCAGGAGTTTGGAGGCATTCTTTTAACAGCAAAAGGGATAGAGATAAAGACCGATAGAAGGTTGATAAGTTACAGCTGTATAATGTATAGGGGTATAATGTAAAAAAACACAAGGATTGAAAAAGAAACCTTCAAGAAACCTTTGGATCCTTACTCGCATATGTCTTCTTAATTTCTTTGAAAATGCATTTTGAAGTCCCTGTCCATACCTGATGCATACAACTTAGGTTTCATAAGCTCATTAAATATATATATACAACATACTTATTTTATTTTTTTACAAGTTACAGTGATAGCATGCATTAATGGACATTTCTGCAAATGTGCCAGTTTAGCCATCCTGGTAAATTTTCAACTGCAGTCCCTGGGAAGGTGTTATGACGCCTACAAACTCTTTGGTAACAACAACCTGGGAGAATTTGGTCACACCCAGACTTTCTAAATATGTTTATAAAGCCAAAATAGTAGTGTGTGTGTGTGCAGGGGCTTTAAATTTGCTGTTACATACTATTACCTGTACTCATGAACTCCACACTACAGAGCATATATTTGGCTGTTGTGTGATCTAGGTGAATCTAAGAATGAGGTTAATTCTTTCTTAGGAATCTACTTTTTAGTCAATTATGATAAACTTGAGTTGTGTTTCAGGAAGAGAACCTTTTTTAGAGCAAATTTTATTTGCCAAGCTTGGGAGAGAGCAGTTGTTCTGGAGCTTTATGGACTACATTTTATGGTCATTTCAACAGAGAAATTAGTCTTATTCGGTGTGTTTGTTGCAGTAACTCATAGATATACTTTACATTTTGCATCCTATAAGAAAACATCCACTGTTCCAAAATGTTAGCTTGTCATGAACTAAAAAAAACAGCCCTGATTTGCTTTGTGACTTTGTTTTTTTCTGATAAGGTTTTATATGATTTATTTAGCATACAAAGTAGGGGGACCCATAAAGGAAACCTTGATCCTACAGTTTCTCCTTTCATACCCTCCTTTCCAGTGCTAAACTTGTCTATGTTGAAAATACAACCAAATTTTGTCATATCTTGAGTTAGCAAATGTTACCAAAATTCAAGCTATTTAGCTAGCTTTCCAATAATGTAGATTAGCTATACAGTTGACTAGCGTTTTGCTAACATTAGCTACGTTAAGATACTTAAATTGCTTTTATCTTTTAACCATTTTCAAATTGACCGGAGCAGAGAGGCAGAGCGGGTCGTCCCCTAATCAGAAGGTTGTTGGTTCGATCCCTGGCTGCTCCTGCCAACTGTCGAAGTATCTTTGAGCAAGATACTGAATCCCAAATTGCTCCCGATGCTGTGAATGTGTATGAATGTGTTAGTTTCTGCTCGGAGCTTGCTCAACTTCTATTGGAACACAGTGCAAAAAGGGGGCGGGACTTAGGAATGGTTCATTGCGACCAGGTTTTTTAGTACTGCTGATTACATTTCATGCTGTTTCAGGTCACTCCACAGTGGAGTTTGTGTGTGCTGAGGAGACTGACCTGATTCTTATCCACTCCAATAAGCTGAACTACACCAAACGTGAGAATAACCACTCGGCAAGCCTTACCTCATTAGGTGGAGTCAAAGCCCCCTCAATCAAGTCTTCCTGGCTTCAGCAGGTGACTCAGTACCTGGTCCTACAGTTGGATGGTAAACTGATGAAGGGCCACAGGTACCACCTCTACACTGAATTTACTGGAGAGCTGGCCGATGACCTGGGAGGCTTCTATAGGAGCGAATACATGGAGAATGGAGTGAAAAAGTATGTGTTTGGTGTCAGATGATATGCTTTGAAACATAACTAGGGCAATACTTGTCCTTTTTATTAATTACTCTTAATGGCAAAACATTTTGCCAAAAATATTGGGTTATTTCTTTAACATCAAGCTTTATTTGTCTATTTCCTGTCAGGGTTGTTGCTACCACTCAGATGCAGCCCACAGATGCCAGGAAGGCTTTCCCCTGTTTTGATGAGCCAGCTATGAAAGCTATTTTCCACATCACTCTGATCCACGACATTGGAACTGTAGCTCTGTCCAATGGCGAAGAAAAAGGTTAGTTGCACTACAGTGATAACTGGACAGGATTAATTTCACAGTTGGAAGAAATCAGTGGAGTGTATAGGAAAGATAATGCTGGTCAAACACAAAGACAAACTGAATATGAACATAATGTGTAAAAAAAATTAAGATTAAAAACCTTTCAAAACTTCTTCTTGAAACCTATGTGTAATGCAAATAATAAAAATCAAATCAAAGTTTCATTTCTTTTCTACAGAGTCTAGCAACGTCAACATTGAAGGTCATGATGTGCAGAAGACAGTTTTTCAGCCAACTGAGAAAATGTCCACCTACCTGTTGGCGTTCATTGTCAGCGACTATTCATTCATCAATAACACCATAGATGGAGTTTTGGTAATTGATATAATAATAAAGCAACCAAGTTGTGACTATACAATATGTCGCTTCTTTACACCATCTTCACAATTTGGATTCATATCTAAGAACAGGAAAGGAGAAAGTTGACAGAGGTTCTGCCAATTATCACTCAACACAGTTTATAGTTGTGTTTTGCAACTTTAGTTCTAGTTTTCATCATCCAATTTCCCATTGGGTTTTCCCCTACAAAATTCCTATGTATCCACATTCAACATTCCAAACAACACAGTTATTATCCATTTAAGTTTCTGAGTTTTGACCTCTTCAGACTTTTTCCCTTCTCCATTCACCTTTGAAGTAGGTGAAGTTGTGCTGGAAATTCCTACTCTGCTTCTACAGTGATATTCAGGTTAACAAAAATGTGCTAATGAGACTGTCTAATGTGTTTTCTTGTATGTATTGTGTGATGTGTGTTTAGATCCGTATCTTCGCCCGGAGGCCTGCTATTGCTGCTGGGCAAGGAGACTATGCCCTTAACAAAACTGGACCCATCCTTAAGTTCTTTGAGAAGTATTACAATTCTAGCTACCCTCTGCCCAAGTCTGGTAAGTCTACCATAATGACAATCTGGATATGACTGAGTCTGGTTTGAATAGATATAGTACTCCCTATGCAGTTAGCTACTATTTCTAATCCAGGAGGTTACTTTCTGTGTTTATAACCAAATGTAAAATGGAAGTTTACTTGGAAAGCTTTAGGAGGCTTGCACTGATTACCCCGATATACTTCTGAGTCTGCTGAATTTCAAAAAGAAGTGAAGAGTGCCATGTTGCATGACCCATATAGTCAGAATCACCATAATTGAAGGGCACAGGTTGGAAAATACCAGAATTTTACTTTACCTAACCAACAATGGACTACAACACCATTATAAGCCCTCTCCATGTACAAAAGCAATGCCTTATCTTCATATGCACCTTTTTGTATGTGTCTTTGTTAAATATATGAAAATTAGCCTGAATACCTTTCTTTTTTATGCTCCACCTGTATTAAGTACGTAAAGTGAACACACCTAGTTATACATTAATATAACCAGTAATCCCCTGATTTTAGTGCCCTCAGTGGTTCTTTCAATCATGTTTATTGCCATCATGTGCATTTTTAGTCATTCCCAAATATATCTCCCTTTGTAAACTGAGACACCGCCTGCTCCGAAGAAACAGCTGTGTCAGTTATTTTTAACCTTATAAAACGCTCATCTTTCATTCTGTTCTTATCGCTTATTTATGCAGGATGTATTTGCTTATGACACAGATGCTTGTATCTTTTGGTTTTACAGTTTTATGACAGGGCTTTGGGAACAGCCATGATCACATGCCGTATCAATTTTTAACAGATCAAACTTGATAACTTGATTGTTATATAGTCTTTGATGACAGCTGTAGTCCGTCTTCATACAGCCTTTGTTGGCCAGCTTGTTACAGCATCCTTGATCCCCCAAATTTCTTATTCTAGGGTTTCTGTTAACAATCCGAGTCGGTCAGTAGCAAAAACAAGAACTTTTAAATTGCTGCTTTCACATAAAAACACAAGAAAATAAGGTTCAGGTTGAAAAATGCTGGTTACCCATTAGGTTTGGTCGACTTACACAAATTCGTTAGGAAACTTGACAGGTAATCAACCACAAATAATCTCTTTCCTAATGCAGATCAGATAGCTCTGCCAGACTTTAATGCTGGAGCCATGGAGAACTGGGGTCTGATCACATACAGAGAGACTGCATTGCTCTACGATGAAGCCTTCTCCTCCAACTCCAATAAGCAGAGGATTGCTACCATCATTGCCCATGAACTGGCTCACATGGTTAGTCAGTTGGAAAAAAATTAATTTAAGAGAATCTTGTAAAGTAGTAACCAACACAGGTCTAATCCAACTCTCAAGTCTTTACTTGGCATTGCAGTCACACATTCATCTGTGTTGTCCCTTCAGTGGTTTGGCAATCTGGTGACCCTAAGGTGGTGGAATGACTTGTGGCTAAATGAAGGTTTTGCATCCTATGTTGAGTACCTGGGAGCACATGAGGCAGAGCCTGATTGGAATGTGGTAAGGTTTTCCCTCCCACATTGTAGCCTCAATAATCGGCGTAAAGAAGGATGTTGGTGACAGTGAAGTTTTCACTGTCTTATTTGTCTCATAATAGAAAGACCTCATCGTGCTCAGTGACATCCACAGGGTGTTTGCCGTCGACGCCTTGGCCTCTTCCCACCCTCTGTCCTCCAAGGAAGAGGACATCCAGAAACCCGCACAAATCAGTGAGCTGTTTGATGCCATCTCTTACAGCAAGGTAACCTCCTGCCCTTAGGCCTTAACAGCAGCAGTTCCCCATCCCTGATCCTAAGATCAGTTCCAACATTTGAAATTTGTTTGCTTATCCTCAGGGTGCATCTGTTCTGAGGATGTTGTCGGATTTCCTAACTGAAGAAATCTTCACAATGGGACTCAGGGTAAGGAATTTATGGGGACAACAATATTTACCTGAAAAACACATGTTACTGTTAACCTTAGTCCTCTTTTATTGACTCAGTAAAGAATCTTGTCCATGTATGTACTTGGCAAATGAATTCTCTGAAAAGGCCAGTTAGAAAGGAATTCCAACCGTCACTGTGATCAGTTCATTCAGCAGGTAGATTTCCTTCAGATGTGGCATGAGAATCACTAATTGGGTACTTCAGTAATTTAAGTAATTATTTTCTTGCCCCTATACATGCCCCAATTGTTTAATTTATTGGTAGTTAGCAAATGACGAGACCCTGTGTTGGCTGAACTGAAAATGATTTGACTCCTGTCCTGGTTCACCACAACATTTAGCAGACACACCTCCAAAGCAAAATAACAAATTGATCTCTTTGTTTTCCCTGCAGACCTACCTGGCTGAATTTGCATTCGGGAACGCAGTCTACACAGACCTATGGAAGCATCTGCAAATGGCATGTCATTTTATATAGACCCCTTTGATCTGAACATTTGGCCAATGTTTTAAACAAAAGGATCTCCAGTAATTGCCAATCTACTGTTAGTCTAATGTTTTGCATGTTTGTCTGCTTTCACAGGCTGTTACTGCTACTGGCACTGACATTCCTGACACTGTTAATAACATCATGAACACATGGGTGCTGCAGATGGGCTTTCCTGTGGTTAAAGTAGATACCAGTACTGGTCTCGTATCCCAGAAGCACTTTCTCTTGGATCCGGACTCTAAAGTCACCACTCCATCTATCTACAAGTGTGTAGATGGCCTTTCATTCTTCCCTCCCCTTAGAACAATTCATTTGTAAATTTTTGTTTTCTTTAATATTACTGCTGCTAATATTACAGTATTACAACTCCTTCTACTATTACAGTAAACTACTGTTTATACTACAACACTAGTATTACTACTACTTTTACAGTAATACTACCATCTTCTAGCAAATTCTAGGGTTATTACAAAAAATATGATTTTTCTACTCTTTAATATATAATCTTTTTATTTTAATGACATCATCGTACAGCTGATACAGCTTCCATCTTCTGGTTCATAAGATGCACAAGAACAACACTATATGTAGGTATAATAATAAAGTTGTTTATCCTGCAGCTATGAATGGATTGTTCCAATCAAGTGGATGAAGACTGGAGAAACCCAGCCACCAAAATGGCTAAAGAATACATCAGGTAGGTACAGATACTAATAATAATTGATTACCCTAACCCTAACCTAAACTAGTAACAACAAACATGTTGTTTACCATGAAAATGGAGGACACTAGCGAGCAAAGACTTTGTACAAAGCAGCACTATGTGCTCTGAGATATTTTTTTCTAAGGAATTGTGTGTCATTTCAATTAATTCAAACTTGATTGTTTAACTTGATAGAAGAATCTGCCACATCTGAACGAAAACAACTAATCAGAGCCAAGAAAGATAGTTGATTGTCATTCCCAGGTCATCAAATTTAGATGCGTTGGGAACCTTGGGAATGAAAACTCAACAATCAACTATCTCTTGGCTATGATGAGTTGTTTTTTCCGGTGCATTCTGCAAATACCATTAGGAGCACTAGGAGGAAGGAGCCAGAAGAACCTGATTTCTGTGATTTAATCACAGATTATCTGTCTCATGTTGGATATAGTGAAAGTTTCAGCAAATATAATAAAAACACATTTTTGTAAAAGTTACATACTGCAGCTTTAATAGAATAAAATCTATCGAAAAATTTACATTCTCGTCTTGTACACAACAATAATGACTAACTTCAACCCCCTCTTTCTTCTGTAGTTACAATCAATGAGATGAAAGTATCAGGGGAAGACTGGGTGCTGACCAACATCAATGTGGTTGGTTACTACAGAGTCAACTATGACCAGGGCAACTGGGACCGACTCCTCCATGTTCTGAGCATCAATCATGTGGTAAGACATAGCTCTCTGATGCATGGTTACCTGCAAATTTTGTATTACCTCTTTATTCCTACACTTATTATGAACATATTGACCTGAGTAGTTTTAGTAGTATTAAATGGGACATTGCTCTTGTTTTTCAAGGCTATTCCAGTGATCAACAGAGCTCAGTTGGTGGATGATGCCTTCAACCTGGCTAGGTAAGTCCTACTAATGCAGTATTATATAGAGATGAATCTAGTAATTAAAAGAATAATCATCTGGAATTACTGAGAAATAATAACTTTCTTCTCATTACTTGCCAGCGTATTTTTGTGTAAAACTGAGAGACCTTCAAGACTATTAATAAATGATGATAAAATATAGATTAGATAGATAGAGAATTGGACCTCTGTACTATGTATAATTGTATTGCAGGAGCTGTGTACGAGGCCAGTAGACCATGCTTTACTTACTCTAATAAAAGACAGAGCATCAAGCCAGGGTGGAACAAGTATGTGGGTGCTTATCATGCTGAAGCCAAGAATGCATATAAGGCCTGGGTCCTGGCAGGTAGGCCCAGAGAGGGGCCTGTCCTGGACCACAAAAAGCTTACCAACGCAAGGTATAAATATGCAGTTCGTTATATCAGCAAACATGAGCAAGTAATGAGAGCGGACTCTATGGCTGAGAAGCTTCTTGGAAACGATGTTACTGGCTTCTGGAAGGAGGTGAGAGCACTGAACAGGGTCAGTACATCATTACCATGTACAGTTGAAGGAGTTTCTGGAGCCGACAAGATAGCTGAGGCTTGTGGAAGCAACATTATTCTGAGCTATTCAATTGCGTTAAAAGTGATCTCTACATTGCCAACAGTGAGACAGTGGGAATCACATGTAGGGAGGTGCAACAAGCAATTACACAGCTATGGAATTTCCCCATTGTGGGACAAATAAAAGAATATCTTATCTTATCTTATCTTAACTAGCTGATAATAAAGCAAGTGGCTTAGATCAGATGCTTTACAGGCTTTATGACTCATGGTCTATTGCCGCACTCCATGTTGTCTGTTACCTTGGTGCCTGTCATCAAGGACAAAGCTGGCAAGGTGGGAGCTTGGATAACTATAGACCA